ATCAAGTATTTCGATACTGTACCTGTCGCTTCCTCGCTCTGTATTCTCAAATCTGGTTTCCTTTTCGTTGCAGCTGAATTTGGAAATCAGTGAGTGCTACCATTTTCTCCATTTCGTCCCAACCCTGATCAACGCGTCCGCAGTTACTTATATCAATTCCAAAAACTCGGAGACGATGACAATGAACCCGAATACAGCTCCACGTCATATCCATCCTTCGGCATGTCTGACCCGAGCGTACCTTTACCCCATGCCTTTTTCCAACCTCGGGCTTTGGAAAATTTAGTGGTGGCGGATGAGATAGAGTCGATCGACCCTATCATTGACTCCAAAGTGTTGAACGTTTTGCCTAACTCGGACGCGCCCCAAATCTTCACGGCTTGTGGTCGTGGGGCCCGAAGCACTTTCAGGACATTGCGACATGGCCTCGAAGTCGAGGAGTCCGTCAGCTCAGAACTACCTGGTATCCCGAACGCGGTCTGGACTACGAAACGAAGGGAAGATGGTAAGCAAAACGTTCTGGTCGTCCGATCATCGACTAACCTGCTTTGATAGACGAGTATGACTCATACATCATCCTTTCCTTCGTCAATGGTACACTGGTCCTGTCCATCGGCGAAACTATTGAAGAAGTGCAGGATACCGGCTTCTTGTCCTCTGCCCCGACACTTGCAGTACAACAAATTGGCGCTGATGCCCTCCTGCAGGTTCATCCGCAAGGCATTCGACATGTCTTGGCGGACCGCCGCGTGAACGAGTGGAGAGTCCCTCCGGGCAAAACCATCGTTAGTGCAACCACGAATAAACGACAAGTCGTCGTAGCACTGAGCTCGGCCGAACTAGTTTACTTTGAGCTGGATTTGGACGGCCAGTTGAACGAATATCAAGACCGGAAGGCCATGGGTAGTACGGTTTTGGCATTGAGCATTGCGGAGGTCCCAGAGGGACGGCAGAGGACCCCATTTTTGGTGAGTGTGACCTTCCCTTCTCCAATGGACTAGGCTCATTTTGGCAAACTGTGTAGGCTGTTGGATGTGAGGACCAAACCGTCCGCATCATCTCTCTGGACCCCGAGACTACCTTGGAAGCTATTAGTTTACAAGCCTTGACCGCCCCTGCGTCGTCCATTTGCATCGCCGACATGTTGGATGCTAGCATCAACAAGACTCAGCCAACCATGTTCGTCAACATTGGACTGCAAAATGGAGTTTTACTGCGGACCGTCCTCGACCCTATCAATGGCCAGCTGACGGACACACGTACTCGGTGTGCAGGTGTCCTTGATTTCACCATCATTTGCTGACCATCCCCCAGATTCCTTGGCACACGCCCAATACGGCTGATACGCGTCCAGATACAGCGAAATCCTGCGATTTTGGCCCTGTCGTCTCGATCATGGTTGAATTATACGCATCAGAACCTGATGCACTTCACCCCGCTCATCTTCGAGAACTTCGATTATGCGTGGAGTTTCTCTGCGGAATTGAGTCCAGAGGGGTTGATCGGCATTACTGGTAGTACCCTTCGGTAAGTATTGTTCCCCATGGTCGATTTTTTTGTTTCTAAATTTCTCGCCCGCTAGCATTTTCCAAATTCCGAAGTTGGGTACCAAGCTCAAGCAGGACTCGATGCCGCTTTCCTACACCCCCCGGAAATTCATCACTCACCCCACAAATCACTACTTCTACATGATTGAGGGCGACCATCGTGTACTTGGTCCCGAAGCTGCTGCAAATAAATTGGATGAAATGGTGAGCTTACCTCATCCAGATTTGACATGTGTCTAACCGTTTTCCACAAGCGTAAACAAGGGAAAATTATCGACGACGAGGTCGTGGACTTGCCGCCAGAGGTGTTTGGTCGCCCGAAGGCTCCAGCAGGCACATGGGCATCTTGTATCAGGATCATCGATCCGATCGAGGTGCGTCGTTCTTCGCCATTGACATGACACGAATGCTAACCAACCATCCTTAGGCGAAAACCGTTGCTGTCATACCGTTGGATGGTAATGAAGCCGCATTTTCCATTGCAGTCGTTCCATTCTCGGCCCGAGGTGGAGAGCTTCACCTTGTTGTTGGCACTGCCGCCGACACCCTGATATCTCCGCGGTCGTGTTCGAGTGGTTTCCTTCGGACATACAAGTTCACGGAAGACGGCGCGAACTTGGAATTCCAGCACAAGGTACGACTCGGACCTTGTCTCATTGCTGTATTAAATTGTCTCCTTATCACAGACGGAAACTGATGACGTTCCTCTTGCGCTACTAGCCTTCCAAGGAAGACTGGTAGCCGGAGTCGGAAAGGCTTTGAGAATATACGAGATCGGGAAGAAGAAACTGCTCCGAAAGGTGGAGAATAAGGTACGTACTCTTGGTTCTCCGACTCAGGATGCCTATCTCAGTATTTTCTGCTAGTCATTCGGCTCCGCGATTATCAGTCTCAACACCCAGGGCTCCCGCATCCTCGTTGGCGATATGCAGGAATCTGTTTCCTTCGCCGTCTACAAGCCACCTGAGAATCGGCTACTCATCTTCGCTGATGATAGTCAGCCGAGGTGGGTCACCGCTGTAGCGATGGTGGATTACAACACGGTAGCCGTTGGCGATCGGTTCGGCAACGTCTTCGTGAATCGGCTCGATTCCAAAGTGTCGGATCAGGTTGACGACGATCCCACTGGAGCCGGAATACTTCACGAAAAGGGACAGCTGATGGGCGCACCACACAAGACGAAAATGCTTGCACATTTCCATGTCGGTGACATGATCACGTCCATACACAAGGTGTCGCTGGTCGCAGGTGGTCGTGAAATTCTCTTGTACACCTGTCTTCATGGGACAATCGGGATTCTCGTCCCGTTCGTCTCCAAGGAGGACGTCGACTTCATCTCTACTTTGGAGCAACACATGCGGACGGAGCAGAGCAGTCTTGTTGGCAGGGATCAGTTGAGCTGGCGGGGCTACTACGTGCCCGTCAAGGGGGTAGTGGACGGCGACTTGTGCGAAACGTTCGCTAGGCTGCCGGCGCCGAAGCAGAGCAACATTGCTGGGGAGCTGGATCGCACAGTGGGCGAAGTCTTGAAGAAACTGGAACAATTACGAACGACGACCAGTGGCTTCTAGGCACAAAATTGTAGTGCATATTATTTGTTTAACGCGTATTTTTTGCTCGCTGTGAATGTATATCAGAACGTTGTGAATGAGATCCTGGGATATTTGGAGCTAGACGGTTTACACGCATGTCGTACAACACGTGAGCTACGAACATTGAGCTTGCCCTCTGCGTCAAGAATAAATGGACCATGCGTCGGCCATATACAGCTGGCGCCAAACTATCACATGATTTGTGGAGACTTTCCGCTCTTACGACTCTCAATGATACGAAGTCAATTAAATTGCAAAGGTTTCAGATGCTGGTTGTGGAGTCTTTTGTTTTCCACAAACTCGGTAGTGAAACCCAGCCGTAACCGTTCCATCCCCCTCTCAAAATCCGATTTAACAGGGGCAGCTCCCGTTCTATTCGTGGGTCAGACTAAACGAAACCTATGTCAATATTGGAAGTGCAAAGGCACTCACTGCACAGCACGCGGGTCCGGCGCTGCAGCCGTCTTCGTTGCAGACCTAAGGGCACACAGTTAGAACCACAGTACATCGAACAACGGCGGACGCGACTTACGCAGGTGTCGGGGAAGCACCTGGCCTGGATGCTCGATCCAGCGGCGAAGGTCGCAAAAAGTGCAACAACAGTGGCGATAACAGCGAAACGCATTTTACAGAGAGAGATAGAGATTGGGTGTGTGAATGTGAAAGGGCGAAAAAGAACTGGGATGCGAGAACCCCTCAAATGGCCCGCCTTTTATGTGATTTTTGAAGGGGGTCGTCATGCGGGATTGCTCGTTGGCGTTGCGGGGTAGATGGCGCAGTCCTGGGCGCGAATCAGATATATACTTATGAAATCCCCAGCGGCAAGCGACGCAGTACTTGACATTGCAAACGTCTGTGCGAACCATTGAAGTTCTATGGGGGTATGCGTACTGATTTTTGTGGAGCACCAGGGAGCGCCTGTGCAACCCGACAGAGCCTCGGGACCCTTTCACAGCGCCTTTTTCTGAATCTCTCGATTGGCCACGGCGACCATCGGATGGTAAACCCAGGTTATTGCCTGCCCAGGGTTCAAAGCAGCACAAGGCGAGAGGTTTCCGTCCGACAACGCAGGAGAGTCGAGACTCGGGAGAAGAGAGACGGTCGTCAACAGAGCATATCGAGGAACGGCCCGCGTAACACAGAAATGTCGAGATCATTGACCGGTCGCCGGGGCGAAGCCTGAGAGGATAATACTTGAACCACCGTTTGATGTTGATTTGGGGTGGCGAAAAGTTTTGATTAATTTAATGACAACGCGTGGTCGAAATTGGCGAGCGAAGGAAAATTGGTGACCCAAGTCATGTTGCCTTCAGAGAAAGTCCACAAAGGAGGAGTGCATTTGGAATTTGGTTCAGAGGTTCGCCACATCGTTGAGGAGTAGCGGTTGTATGCGGCCCAAGTGGTAGGGTAGTATAGGCACCCGTAGTTTTAGACTTTCGCCGTCACAGTCAGGGGGAGCTTGCTGCTGCAGTTGCGGGCTTCTCCGTTGCCATTTGCCGTAAACTTGAAGATCTCCCCGCAGTTCACAGGAGCGGGACAGGTGGGGGTATAAGAGAAGGAGCGGGAAAGGGTTTGTTACCGGGAAAGGGTTTGTTACAAACCCTTTCCCGCTCCTTCTCTTATACGTTTGTTCAACTTTGTTGCTATACTGAGCAAGGTATATATGTGAAACGAAGCACGAATATTGGGAGTAAAAGGCGTGCTATGGCAGGGTTGCCAAATGGAGAAGACAAAAGAGCAAAAAGTGATCCGACCCAGATCCGAACTGAGGACCGCCTGTGTACAACTAAGCGCGGAAAAAAAAAAAAGACGAAAGAAAGGGAATTTAATAAAGTGAAAGCGCAGAAAAAGAGAGCAAAAGTGATCCGACCCAGGTTCGAACTGAGGACCGCCTGTGAGAACACGTGACTGTGTTAGACAGAAGTGATAACCAACTACACCATCGGACCGATGAGTGCATGGTATGTCTAGGTCGCTACTAGTCGAATGGTACGGTTGCATACTAGCTGCACCATGGGCGAGTTGCATCTTCCGACACCCTAGCCTCACCCTGCTCAAGCATTCTGTTTCATTGACTCGACGACCAAACCGAATATCATCCTCGCAGAAATTCCCCGGCCCCGGTGCATCAGGATTGCAGGGACGAGTGCCTGGTGGTCATGGGTCCGTGGAAGAGGAGGGCAGTATTGCTGGTGTTCTGACTATTTATTTTTCATTTTCCCCTCGTTCGAACATAAGTCGCTATGACGCGTCCCCCTAAACCTCAAAAGTCGACGATCACAGTTATCTCAAATATAACCAACTACACCATCGGACAGACTAAAAACACTGTGTCGTTCTCCGGACACTAGTCCTGCTACGCGCACCCTTGGCTTACTAGAGCTAATCTTATCCTATGCGCTCCGATTTTCATGGCCTTCAGACGCGTCTCACAAATATTGCGGTTGTGTCCCGACGCGACGCTGGATGGTTGTATCACGTGGGCACTGATGGCAATGATTGCTCCATCGGATTTGGCCACTCTTCCCTTGTCCTCTAAGCGCCGATGCACGCTATACAGGTGCGCTGCTCGCTGACTTTCCTTGGCGCATACTAATCTCTTACCACAGCAACATTACTGGTCCGTTCGGGAATATCTGAGCCCCGTAAGACTCTCCCGTTCCCGTTCCACCAATCAGTCGCTCATCGTTCCCTGCGCCAGGTTCTCAAAGAGAGCAAGTTTAAAGAGCACGGCCGCATCACACCTGGTTCGTTTGGATCACTTCCCTGCGTACAGTTCATTCCAACTCTTCGCAGAGGAGTTTGTAGCTGCAGGCGACTTCCTTGCTTACAAGTTCGGAGTGTGGACTTGGTCAGTGGCTTTTCGGTACGAGACACAATCAACTCATGCTGCGCACTAGGGAGAAAGGTGACCCATCCAAGTGCAAAGACTACCTCCCCGCCGACAAGCAATATCTTCTTACGCGAGGGGTTCCCTGCCTTCGCCGAGCAACTTCTCTTGCGTACACTGACGCCGATGAGGATGCCGAACGACTGCTCTCGTTCGGTGACTCGTTTGACTCCAACGGGGGTGACGAATGGGTCGAAACTCATGCTGGTCGCAAGGCCAACTTGGATTCCGCCAATCCGGGCCAGATCGACGATATTCCCGACCTAGACGCTCCCGCGGAGGACTCCGTCACGCAGGGTGTAGGCGCGCTCTCTTTGGGCGGCGTTGCCGAGACCCCCGATCTAGACGATATTCCTGATATGGAGGAAGAAGGTCTGGAGGAGGAAGACGATGAAGCGACTGCTGCGCCCAAGCCGACGCCCGGCGTGATTGACGCTAGGTGGGATTTACCTTATCCCTTGCCGATAGTTTCTAATTGGCGGTTCCCGTAGTCAAGTGGAAGTCGCCAACGGAAATCTTCTCCAAGTGCGAACTTACGACGTCATGATAACCTACGACAAGTACTACCAGACTCCTCGTATCTGGCTGATTGGCTACGATGAAGTTAGACTTTTCGTTTTCAGTTTTCTTGCATCTTTAACTTGCCCTTTAAGAATCGCACGCCGTTGACGCCGCCACAAATTTTCCAAGATATCTCCGCTGACCACGCTCTCAAGACGGTCACGATTGAGGCATTTCCCCACTCTGCGTCGTTGCAGGCCGCATCGGTCCATCCCTGCAAACACGCCAGTGTGATGAAGAAGGTGATCGAGCGCATGAACAACAGCGTGGTCGAGGAACAGCTTGCCCAGCGCAAGTCGTCCACGTCCAAGGACGGCAAGGACGGTAAGGACGGTAAAAAGAAGTGGTTTGGCCGCAAGGCGAGCGGCAGTGGAAAGGAGGAGAAATCCGCCGAGGACGACGAAGTGGATGGAATGCGGGTCGACTTTTACCTCGTCGTGTTCCTCAAGTTCATCGCGTCCATCGTACCCACCATTGAGGTCGACTCGACGACGTCGTTCTGATCGCGACGAGATGCGAATTATATACCCAGACTCCACCGGGCAAATGTATCTGTACCAAGACTGATTTACTTAGAAACATGCTGTCGCTGCTTCCCATCCAGAACACAAACGATAGCAGAATGAAAGAACAAGATCAAGTAGCAACCTCTGTCGACTTTGATTTTTTATCCTTTTTCTCCTTCCGCTTCTTCTCTACAGGCGCAGCGTCCGATATCGGGGGTTCTGCTGTCTCAGCCAGCGCCGCGTCGCCCTTCCCCCTCTTATCCTTCTTCCGCGTCTTTTCTGCCGGCTCGGCGACAGGTATCGACGGAGGAACGTCGATATCCATCGCCTTGGAGTCTCCTTCACCACCCTTCTTATCCTTCTTATCCTTCTTCCGCTTCTTCTCCGGGGCTGACGGAAGAGCTGCATCAACCTCCATCGCGTCAGAAGGCCCTGCAGCTTCTTCCGTCGCTGCCGATTTCGCTTTCTTGTCCTTTTTCCGCTTTTTCTCGGCCGGTTCAGATTCCGGTATTGCGGGTGCGTCAACGTCCATTGCCTGGCTATCTTTATCGTCTCGCTTCCGTTTCTTCGGCGTGGAGGTCGAGTCCGGTGTCGAATCCTCAGGCGCGACACTGGCGAGTTTCTCAGCGTGCTTCTGGGTCTTTTTCAGCTCAGCTGCCTCTCGTCGCAGCTCCTTCCGAGTCTTCGTCTCGGAATCCTTGGCGGTGGTACTGGGCTCGACGGACGATGCCGACGCCTAACATGCGCACTAAGTAAACGGCAAACTGAAGAAGCTTCATAACGTTACTTACCGTTGGCTCTGCGGCTACGGCCTTTTTCTTCTCCTTCTTATCTTTCTTCTCCTTCTTCTCCTTCTTTTCCTTCTTTTCAGTCGGAACAACAGGTGCTGGCGGGGCAGCTTTTGGGGGGGCGTCGACGACGACCGCCTTGGCTGGGGGTGCCACAACAGGCGGGGAAGGCATGGGCGAGGTCCGGGTGGGCGTTCCTAGCGGTGTGTCGTTGGCCCCAGTCGCCGACGTGCGGACCGAGCCCCAACCGCCTCCCCGGCCGCCGCCACGCCCACCGCGCCCGCTCGCTGTCCAGTTCCGCACGCCCGTGTCCGCCGGGGCGGCGGGTCGCGGGGGGTAACTGCTTTTTGGGAGAGCTGACTTGAATGCTACATGAAACTATTTCGTCGCGGTTGTGAAGAAGATCGACATACAGTCTTGGCGCCCTTGTACACGCTCTTTTCATATTTTTCGGCCTCGCTAATGCATTGGGTGTGACTCTTGTACTCCGCGGGGGAATTGAATGTGGTGGAGCAGTCGATGCAGTCAAAGCCCGAGTAGCATCGCTGGTAATGCTGGTCGAGCTTAGGTTTTTTTACAGTATCCTGGCAGGCATGACATCTGGAATGAAAACGTGAGTTGGGGACTGCAAGATTAACAAAACACCCACTGGAATGAGACCATGACGACAGACTTGAAAGAGCGAACTGATTATTCGCTTAAAAGTTGGCGGCTAAGGAAAAAAGATTCATGTTTGGCCCGTGCTCCGGAAAATAACAAACCACCTTCTCTTGAAAGTTAAAAATGCTTCGCGGAAGAAGACTTCTGGCGGCTCAAGTACGGCTCACGTTAAAAAACAAACGAAGAATTTGTCCAGATACATGATACAATTACACGACCTCAAGAAGAAGCAAGGCGGACGACCCATGTCTCGGCGCAAGGCTCCGCGCCAGGCAACAGTCTCAGCTCTTGGAAATCCTCAATCTTGTCCAGCCCTCTGAAAAAAGCGCTACCCCCGAGCCAATCGATACGCTTCAGCCGTGAATCATCGTCACGGTCCGATTCGACGCGCTTCTTCGCCGCCTTCTCGATGGTCTCCCGCAGCTTCTTGTTGTCGACAACTATGCCCCACTCCGAGTCAGCTAAGTGCTGTTGGAGCTATACCAGTGCGTTAGACGATGGTTCCAAGCACAAATAAAAGAAGACAGCACGCACAGCTGCATGGAGCGCATCGTATACGGCCTCAACCGTTACTGGCGTGTTCGACATGACGTCGATCGACCAGGGGAAGAATTTCGATATGAGGCGGACATGCGTCGCTCCGCTCGCAACAGCGAACAGGTGGCGGTTGGGCAAGTACGTCGCCGGTGCTATGTCGTTCCGCGCCTTTTTCCGAACATCGTAGTGCACTTGGGTCGTGTCCGATGCAAGGACCGGGTTCAGAGTAGGGTACTTGGAGGAGTGGTACGCTGAAAACGAAGGATACATCAGCGGACAGCGGGCGGGCGGACAGATTGCGCGCACCAGCATTCGCGTTCGGAGGCGCCCAACCGGGCTGCCCCCAGTACCCAAACCCCGGCTGCGGGGGGCCAAAAGCGTTGGGGTGCGGCTGCTGGTAGTATGCGGGCGGCTGCCATGGATTTCCCCAGGGATTCATCGCGCTGGCCTCCAATCGATGTGGAGGTTCTGTTGCAAGTTAAGCAAAGGCGCCTAATCCAGTAAATATATGACATCGGCGTGGGAATGACTCAGCGAGCACGACACGGGGTGCATTCTTTGCTGTTGCACTGGAAAAAGCTGTGACCCTTGGGCGCGATAAGAAATCTGATTGCACCCATGTGCTGTGCAAAGGCGGTCCCGAAGTCAAACCAGCTCAAAGAGAGAGGGAGAGAGGGAAAAATTTTGGAACGAGAATCGGGAGCATTGCGGAGGGCAGGACAGGAAGACTCACCTGGGATATGAAGCACCAAATACTCATAGCGAAGAGGGTAGAAGGACAAGTGAATACACTGAAGAGCAGGAATAGCCCGGCGCTAAACCATTCCTGTAGGCGCTAATCACGGTCAATTTTGACCACTGGCATGCTCACAGTCGACTATGTTCACGCAGAATACACAGCGTTCAGAAATAGGCGTGGCCAATGGAAGGAGCGGGATCTACCAAGCCGAGAGTAAGACCAGGTTTCAATAAGGTCAGGAATCTTTCAAAGCAGGGGAGACACAGGA